CCCCGCGGGCCAGGGGGTCCCGGGTAGCCTCGCACGCCGGGTGCGCCTGCGTCCCCTGAGGGGCCGGGGAAGCCAAGCTCGCCCTGGATGCCTTGCTGCGGTGGGGATGGAGAGCGGCATCAGGATCGGGGAGCTCAGCCCCATCCTGAGCACAGGGGGGCTGCGCCCCGAGACCCTGGGGACTTCCAGTGCCAACTGCTGCAGGTGGGTTCTGAACCGCAAACGGGGTCTGAACCTGAATCCAGGGCTGGGTATGGTCACTGAAGCCCATCTCCAGTGAAAAGACTTCATCAAGTGGCCAGAGAGCAGCTCCGTGGAGCGCTGCTGCTGTTGTCAGGATCACCTCTGGCTGAGGGTCCTGCAGAGCCCCCCAGCGCAAAGGTGCGGGGAGCCCCTCACGCCCAAACCCCCACTCACTCACCTGCCCCTTTGGCCCTGGCTCGCCCGATTCACCCTGGGGACAGAGGACACAAGAAATGCAATGAGGAGACAGCACAAATTTAGAGATGCAGCTGGGAGGAGGCACACGTACCCCCTCTGAGGGCACTGTGGCTGTGCTGGGGTGCGATGCTGCAGTGTCTGGGGCTGGGGCAGGCAGGAGACCCCAGCACGGCCACAGCACGTGGGCAGGAACCCACGTCCAGCCCCTGCCCCCCCAACTCCACGCCAGGACCCGTCCTCAGGGACCCACCTTCTCTCCCTTGAGCCCTGCGAGGCCATGAACGCCCGGGTCTCCCTAGAGGAAAGGCAATCAGAAATGTGAACCTTCACCACCAGCACCCATCTTCTCTGCAGCCCCTTTCCACCCGCTGTGCTCGGCTGGTATGCCGGGGGTATTGATGGAGAAAGCACCCGCTGTCCGTGGGTGTCAGCCCCCACAAATGTGGGTGCCAGCCCTGTTAGACACGGGTGTCAGCAATTCCCCGCCGGATCCCCCAGCCAGGCCAGGAGGGTGATGTACTCACCATACCACCTTTGGGGCCAGTTTTGCCTGGGGAGCCCTGGAGAAAGGAGAAGAGGGGGGTCAGCCCAGCTCAGCGCAGCTTCCCTGAGCTGGACCCCATCCCCTGCACCCAGTCACCTTGTCTCCTTTGACTCCTGGCAAACCTTGGGGTCCTGGGATCCCCGGCGGACCCTGCTCACCCTTGGGCCCCTGGAGATCCAAGGTAGCATGGGGAAAAGAGAGAAGGGAGTGAGAAGAGGCCGTGGGAAACCTTCCTCCCCCATCGGAGCATCTTCTCCAAGGCAGCGAGATGCACAGGGAGCTCCCTGTCCCCTCCAACAGCTCAGGGTGCCCCACAGCATCCCAACCTGAAAACGATGGAGGAGCCTCCCCTCCAGCCGCTCCGAGATGGGGGGGGTTCCAGCAGGGATGGGGCCCCAGCCCCCAGGAAGCCAGAGGGACAAAGGTCACTTTTTGGCTATTTTCCACCCTGGGAAAGCCTCCAAGAGGGGCCGGGCAGCCTCCCCACTCTCGCCGGGCTGGGAGGAAATTCCTTTCCTGGCTGGGGGTGCAAACCCAGCATGGCCCTGGGCCCGCTAATCCCCCCGCTATTTGCCCCGTCGGCTAATCCCTCGCCCCGGCAGCCAGGCACAGCGGGACGGAGCTCGTGATCGACCCCGGCCGTGATCAAAGCAAGGTCCGTGCAGCAGTGCCAGCCGTGCCCTGCCTCCCCAGCCCTCCTCTTCATCCCAGGGACGCCCGGTGGTCCCTGCTCACCCCGAGGGCCAGGCTCACCCTAAGAGGGGTAAAAAACCAAGCAAACAGAAAAAGAAAAACCAGCAGGCCAGCTGCTTTCTCTTGCATTCACATGCCCTCATCTGCCCTTCATCCTTCCCTGAGGGGCATGTGGCCCTGTCCTTGTCCCCTGCAGCCAGGCACAGG